GGGGGGTAGGATCCTAGGGGGGCAGTCAGGAGACAAGGAACAGGGAGGCTTAGATGGGGAAGGGGTTCTGGGGGGCAGTTAAGGGAAGGGGTCCCAGGAGGTGGTAGTCAGGGGACAAGGAGCAGGGGGGGTTGGAGGTTCTGAGGGGGGCAGTCAGGGGGCGGAAAGTAGAAGGGAGTGGATGGGGGCAGGATGGGGGTGGGGCTAGGGCAGGGTGGGGCTCCCTGGGTGCACACCCTAATGAAATGGGCTGCGCACGCCTATGGATGTCAAGGTTGAGGATGCAGTATTGTTTCCAAGATTTGGGCAGGAACAGGTCACTAGAAACCTTAAGAAGAGTAGTTCTGATAGAGTTAAGAGGAATTAGAGAAAGGGAACTTAAAGCAGCAGTTGTGTATGGTGAGCTTGATGAGTTTACAGCTGAAAAGAGTTGAAAATTGGAAAGGGAGGAGACAGGACCGACCATTTATGAGACATCAGGGTTACTGATGGATTGAAGTTTGGAGAAGGTCTATATGGCAAGACTAGAGAGCAAGAGGGTGAGTGATGTTAAATTAGATGAGGTCAAAGAATGGGAACTTAATGGTGGAGAGATCAAAGAGAGCAGTTTTTAGTGAAGCCAAACTTGAGAGTGACCTTTTTGGTGTGTGAGGAAACTTCAAATGATCCAGGAGATTAAGGAACCACATACCAATGAGATCAGAGGAACACTTAGGAAATGAAGTAAGAGTAGGAGAGGAGTCTGGGGGTTCTAGAAGTTTGATAGATACTTCTCAAACACATATTCAATTCTTACTAAATGTGAAAACAAATTTTACTTGACAAATGTCAACTACTGAGCTGCATTTACCATTTTTCTATTTCAGCTATTAAAGATGTCTTCTTGAACAATAATCCATGGTCATGTGACTGTAACATGAAACCTTTTATTCATTGGTTCTCCCAGACCAAAGTTAACTTATCTCCTTTTGAAGATCTAAGGTGTAATTCTCTGACAGAAAATAAAGACAAAGCACTTCATACACGTAGGGAAGAGGATTTCAAATGCAAAGCCAAATTCTGAATTGTGAGCAATGTCAGAAGATAATGAAGTTGCAATACATATGTATTAGTTTTAATATAATTTATTCATCCTAATTAATATGTTTTAATTCCAATATCCCCTTCACCACAGTGAGGATCTGAAAGCAAAGAGCTCTAAGTGTTCCTGTCAGTGGCTGTCTCCTCAGGTGCTTCTACCTGTCCTGTTCTTCTACTCCTAACACTTCTGCTTAGTTTCTACCCTTGCTCCTTGATTTTATGTGAACCCTAGAGCTTTGTCCAACTTTAATTCCCTAGTAACGGCTTCTCCCACTCCACTCCTTTTTCTTCCAATTACCCTAACCTAATCTCCCCATACACTTCTCTTACTTCCCCATCTGACCCTTTTCCTGGCCCCCAGGCTGTGCCTATCAAATAACTTCCTTCCCACACAGACTGGCTTCACCTTTCATCTAACCTTCCATGACCATTCCACCTAAAACTCCCTACATCCTGGCTCTATTCTCCATTTGGGTCTGGATGCTCCGCTTCAGCTTCTGCTCCATCTGTTTCCCTGCCTCCAGCCACTAGCTACATACCAAACAGAATACCTGGTGAGATTCCCTCTTCTGAACATCAATTTATGAGAGGGTTAAATAAAAGGTGGTTTCTTACATTATTAAAGAATGAAAAAGGAATTAAAAAATATCATTCTCCATGTACACATACTCAACATCCCCACAAATAGGGGCCTTGAGAGGAAGATTCCACAAACTTTCCCTGATGAAGATCTTCCCACATGGTTTCATTGGGAGACAGGGTTTGAATCTCTGAAACTTACTGCAGGTGTGGACTAGACAGTAGGCAGGCTTTGTGTCTCACCTCAACTTCTTGGGAACATGGACCCAATGGAGCTGCAATGTCAGGGATTTCCCTGGTTGCAGATGCCCTGAGACCTTATTTAGAGGCTATATTACTTCTCCTGCCAAATTAACAGAGGCCTGGAATATGGACAATGCACATCATTCCCTAGAGCTGGGCCTGCTCAACGGCCTGTTTCCTCCAACCATGCAGATCTCCAGATGGACAGTCTTCCATATAGTGCAATGGAAATGGAACTGCCTTCAGAACAGGGTTGGGGATCCTCACACAGTTCAAGGGATAAGACAGGACCCAACTGCTTGTATTACATTTTCTGTGTATGTATTTGAATATGTATGTATTACACAGACACTGAATATACACACACAATTATTGTGCTGTCCTTATGAGATAACTGTTGAAATGTTTAATCCCAATAAATATATTGTACACTCTCTTTTCACGCCATGTATATATTTCTAAAATGGAAATATTATTAGGTCTGTCGATTAATCGCAGTTAACTCACGTGATTAACTCAAAAAAATGAATCGTGATTAAAAAAATTAATCATGATTAATCGCACTGTTGAACAATAGAATACCAATTGAAATGTATTAAATATTTTGGATGTTTTTCTACATTTTCAAATATATTGATTTAAATTACAACACAGAATACGAAGTGTACAGTGCTCACTTTGTATTATTTTTATTACAAATATTTGCACAGTAAAAATGATAAAACCAATGGTATTTTTCAATTTACCTCATACAAGTAAGGGAGGGGGGGAGGAATAGCTCAGTGGTTTGAGCATTGGCCTGCTAAACCCAGGGTTGTGAGTTCAATCCTTGTGGGGGCCACTTAGGGATCTGGGGCAAAATCAATACTTGGTCCTGCTAGTGAAGGCAGGGGCTGGACTCGATGACCTTTCAAGGTCCCTTCCAGTTCTAGGAGATAGGATATCTCCATTAAATTTTTTTTTAAGTACTGTAGTGCAATCTCTTTATTGTAAAGTGCAACTAACAAATGTAGATTTTGTTGTTGTTACATAACTGCACTCAAAAACAAAACAATGTAAAACTTTAGAGTCTATAAGTCCACTCAGCCCTACTTCTTGTGCAGCCAATCACTCAGACAAACAAGTTTGTTTACATTTACAGGAGATAATGCTTCCCACTTCTTATTTACAATGTCACCTGAAAGAGAGAAAGAGAAGTTCGGATGGCACGTTTGTAGCTGGCATTGCAAGGTATTTTTGTGCCAGATATGCTAAACATTTGTATGTCCCTTCATGCTTTGGCAACCATTCCAGAGGACATGCTTCCATGCTGATGACGCTCATTAAAAAAATAACACGTTAATTAAATTTGTGACTGAACTCCTGGGGGAGAACTGTATGTCTCCTGCTCTCTGTTTTACCTGCATTCTGCCATATATTTCATATTACACCAGTCGCAGATGATGACCCAGCATGTTATTCGTTTTAAGAACACTTTCACTGCAGATTTGACGAAATGCAAAGAAAGTACCAATGTCAGATTTCTAAAGATAGTTACAGCAGTAGACCCATGATTTAAGAATCTGAAGTGCCTTCCAAAATCTGAGAGGGACGAGGTGTGGAGCATGCTTTCAGAAATCTTAAAAGAGCAACACTCCGATGCGGAAACTACAGAACCTGAACCACCAAAAAAAAAAAGAAAATGAACCTTCTTCTGGTGACATCTGACTCAGATGATGAAAATGAACATGTGTTGGTCTGCACTGCTTTGGATCGTTATCGAGCAGAACCCAACATCAGCATGGTATGTCCTCTGGAATGATGGTTGAAGCACAAAGGGACATATGAATCTTCAGCGCATCTGGGACGTAAATATCTTGCAACGGTGGCTATGCAGTGCCATGCAAACGCCTCTTCTCACTTTTAGGTGATATTGTAAACAAGAAGCTGGCAGCATTATCTCCTGCAAATATACACAAACTTGTTTGTCTGAGCGATTGGCTGAACAAGAACTAGGACTGGGTGGACTTGTAGGTTCTAAAGTTTTATATTGTTTTATTTTTTAATGGAATGATTTTTGTACATAACTTTACATTTGTAAGTTCAACTTTCCTGATAAAGAGATTGCACTACAATACTTGAGTTAAGTGAATTGAAAAATACTATTGCTTTTATTTTTACAGTGCAAATATTTATAATAAAAAATAATAAGTGAGCTCTGTACACTTTGTATTCTTTGTTATAATTAAAATCAATATATTTGAAAATGTGGAAAACTACCATTTATATAAATATTTTTGCATTTCTATTAACAGCACGATTAATTGTGATTACATTTTTAATCACTTGACAGACCTAAATATTATCGGTTATGTTATCATATATATTGAGTTTAGTCAAACTAAACATGCTGTAACTAATTAAACTACCCTAGTCTACTGAATCAACTGTTTATGCCAGGTGAATTTTATTTAAGAACATAACTATATTGTGCAAAACACTCTTACAGCTAAATTCAAGGCTCAGATGGCACACAACACACGCCCAAAAATGGCCTGAGTGGAATCATGAGGTATAATTTTTGTGTCCCACTCCCCAAATCTTGCAGAGTTCACACCTCACAGGTCCTCTGCAGCTGGAGCTATGGAGAGTAATATTCCAGGGTGGGACCTGGGGTCAGGACCCTATATTTTAGAGGGTGCACTCTCTGACTTGGTTTATTTCTTTAGATGTAAATAAAAATAAAAATCACCTCTGAAGTTGCAACATATGTCTGAGATCTCTGGTAGATGTCTTCTTTTACAAAGCAGCCTATGAGCAATCTGCATGGGGAAGTGCATGGGTCTATAGTTGGTCTGAAAACAAGTCCATTGTCTGATCTAAAAGTACTTGGGACCTGAATCTTGCCTCTCTTCTTTAGCCAGTGTTAAATTCCTATTTCTACTTTACCTAGAACTTGCTTAAAATTGAATTTCTATAAAAGATTTTTAAAAGATGTTTTTGTATTTAAAAGTGAATTTACTGGTGAAAAGTGTCTGATGGGAAGGTAGGACCTAGGGAAGGAAGGAAGGCCTAGACCTCTCTTTATCCACAGTACAGGAACAATATGGCTCCGCCAAATATATCTCAATCCTGATTCAGAGAAAGAACCTCAAAAAGACAGAAGATTGGTTTTCTGGGCTATTAAATCATAGATCTCTCTATTGAAACTCCTAACAAGACAAGAATGAAAAGATCCTGGGAAGGACACTAAGGATGGTCATAGATGTTACAAGATTTATATATGATGAGAGAGAGTAAAGAATACATTGGTACTCAATTTATTTGGCTTTTTAATCATGCACAGTTTCTATGAGCTTGCATAACATGGAAGTGAGATTGAGTCAGCACAGATTTTAATATTTCTGTTTTTATTCTACATTCTCTAAGGCATCTAGTTGAATTCTTGGACTATAAGTAGCATGGGTTTTACAAATTAATTTTTACCATTTCTATTTTGAGATTACTGCCTTTAGATGGATTGCACAGATATTACTAAGAACAGAATTTGGCCCATGAGCTTTATTATGGGTAACTATTTGGCTAAGAGGCTGAATCAGTATTCCAGTAGAATAACTTTCATATGAAGGTTCCTACTAACTTAAATAGCTAATTTCAGTTATTGTTGAATGCATTTGTATATGAAAGATCATTTTCTAAGAACAGATGATCATCTACCAAACATATTCTTATAGGGACTTGTATTTTATTGGGAATACTAAAAGAGTTTTCGGAAATAATGATAATTTTATTAAATAAGATACCTTTTGTACTTCGTGGTAGTGATCTAAAGCTAAAATCCAGTGACACATGGAGCAACAGGCAATAGACACTAGTCCCACTTTTGATGGGCTAAAGTCAGGTGATCTTACATATCTTTTCAATTGCAGAAACACCTAAAAAATGAAATGGTTAAATATTAGAACAATGACTTAGAGTTCCCACAGATTTGAAGAGTTATTACAGCATTCTTTATTGCTTAAGGAGAAGACAATGGAAAATCTTTTTGGATATTTTTTAGTTATGTGAAGATGAGAAGAAAACACTATAAATACTTTGGGCAGGATTATGATCTCATTTTCACTGCCGTTAAATCCATAGGAATTTTACTGTCTTCAGTTAGATTTACATAGTATTTATATAACAGAATAGTATCATAGAAATATAGGGCTGGAAGGGACCTTGAGAAGTCACCTACTCCATTCCACTGTGCTGAAGCAGGACCCTGTAGACCTAGACATCACTGACAGGTGTCTGTCTAACCTGTTCTTAAAAACATCCAATGATAGGGATTCCACAACCTCCCTTGGTAGTCTATTCCATTACTTAACTATCCTTACAGTTAGAAAGTTTTTCCTTATATCTAACTTAAATCTCCCTTGCTGAAAGGTAAGTCAATTACTTCTTATTCTATCTTCAGTGAACATGGAGAACAACAACAACGCCACTCCCTTAGCAGAGCCGTGTCGCCAAGAGCTGGAGCCGCCGCTGATAGCAGCCTGGGAACAGCAGCTGCCGGCACTGCCACCGCCTCCACTTCGCCCGTGAAAATTGCACAAAAATGTCTTTCTATCCTTCTCTGGAAGATCTGAAAGTGGACAAGGTAATTCAGGCTCAGACTGCCTTTTCTTCAAACCCTGCCAATCCAGCAATTTTGTCTGAAGCTTCTGCTCCCATCCCTCAAGATGGAAGCCTCTATCCCAGACTATACCCAGAACTTTCTGAGTACATGGGTCTGAGTCTTAATGAAGAAGAGGTACATAAAAACTTGCCAATGGTTGCAAGTACACAATCTCAGGGGCAGCTGGTAACAAGACCCTCCACTGTGAATTATATGGTGGCTCCAGTAACTGGAAATGATGTTGGAATTCGCAGAGCAGAGATTAAACAAGGCATCCGTGAAATAATTGTGTGTAAAGATCAGGATGGAAAAATTGGACTTCATCTTAAATCTATAGACAATGGTATATTTGTCCAGTTAGTTTTTTTTTCCTGGGGTTCTCTGCTCGGTGTCCCCGTCAGGTTCCCTTCGTTTGACCCTTTGACCACATTCCTGTCCCTGTTATTTCATTAGTTGTGCCCCGGAATCACTTGGCTTCCAGGTCCTATGGATCCCCCCCTTAGACTGGGGGGAGGTCCTTTAGCAATGGGCTTCCACCCGCCGACTTCCTGGATCCCAATAGGATCATTTTCTTTATAACAGCCCTTAGCATATTTGAAGACAGTTATCTGGTTGTCCCTCAGTCTTCTTCTCTCAGGACAAAACATACCCAGTTTTTTTAACCTTTCCTCACAGGTCACGTTTTCTAAAACTTTTATCATTTTTGTTGCTCTCTTCTGGACCCTCTCCAATTTGTCCATATATTTCTGAAAGTGCAGACACAATATTCCAGCTGAGTACTCACCAGTGCCTGGTACGGAGTCTGTGCAAACTGTCAGGCTCTGGTTTGAGGCGGGCAGACCTGGTAGTTAGAGAGGTGGTCAAGAACAGGTACAAGGGTCGAAGACAGCCATAGAGTTGGGTCTGGGCTGAGTTAGGGAGAGGCTGTGGGTCAGAATTGGGGTCAGAGTCCAGAGAGAAACCAAATCAGGATTATAGTTGGAGTCCCAATTCAGGCCAAAGATTGAAGCTGGGTGGGAGTCAGTCTGAGGGTCTGGGGGGTCAGGAGGTGGATGCAGAGCTGGAGTGGGTCAGTAACAGGGCTGGAGCACAATTGGACTAGGGTACGGACAAGGCTAAAGCAAGCTGGAACAAGGCTCAGGTAAGGCTGGGGCAGGAATTGCACCAGGGGCAGGAATTGCACCAAAGGCAGCTGGAAGCAGAGGGAGTCTATAACACAGTGAGACCGCGGTAGGGTTCCTGGCTGAGCAGTGCTGTAGCACAGACTAACCTGACATCTGGTGCCATCAGTAAAATATCTGTGCCTTGGGGTTATTTGACCCAGGCCCTGCTCAGGGATAGGCTGCTACAGCATGCCTGAGTGCTGAGTCACTGCAGGCTCTGTTGGAGGGGTGAATCTTGGCAGCTGAGTGAGCAGTGGTAGTCTGGTTGTGGGTTTGCCTCACACAAGGTGAAGGCCCAGAACAGTTTTTACAATTGCAATGGTGTTTAGAAAACAAAATGGAGGTTATTATTCGATATAGATGTATACTGAGTTCAAAATATCAAAGAGAATTCAGAAGTTGTATGTAGGCAGGTCCCCCAAACCATTACAACACCCCTAAACTTTGATATTAAGAAGAAAATTCTGCTGAGGGAAGTGAGATTTAAAAACGTCCTGAACAACAAAAACTTATAAAAATTTTGCCAACAGGCAACTAATCCTATCTTTTCCTAAATTAATACTAATATGTGCAAAAAAACTAGTATAATAAGCTAAAAAGAGATATATCATGGATACTAGGAAGCTCTGTTTTACAGCCACAGGCAGTGAGAAGGAAATGAGTTGCAGGTGGACCACCTCCACCTTTGATGCTCTCAATATGAGACCACAAGGACACTCAGGGTGCAGTGCAGCCCCAAACAGATACTGGCCAAAAAAACACATGGGGAGCATGCGCACCAAAACTGAAATATATATACCAACAAGCACTCAAAGAAGAAACTACTGGTTTAATTTTTTCTAAAAGCATTACACTCATCCATTCTTTTCTACATATTGATAGAAAGGGGACGTTCTGTGTTCCTCCAGTTCTTCATTGAGCACTAAACCAGTTGAGTTGGGGAGAAAGGAAGCTTTAAACCACTTCTGCACCTCCTCTGTTCTGTCCTCAGTCCTCATCTCAACTCAGAGCAGCCCACGAGCTAATCTAAATTGTGTCAGTTTGTAATAGCCCTCTATGGACAATTACAGTGGCACACAGCACAGTGTGCTCATGACTTTCTGTTTCCTCACCCTCCTATCCTGCCCCTGACAAGGCCCATACTTCTGGAGCTGCCAGGGAGTCCAGCATAAAGGCATTATCTCAGGTCTATGCTGGGAAGAGAAAGCCTATCCATAACAGTAGGATTCTGCAGCAGTTGTTTCTGCCTCTGTCCCCTTTGTAGCCTCTTAATCCTGCCACAGTGGCATAAAGGGGCTGCAACATGGGACTGAATCTGGCCCAAAGTTATTATACAAAATTCAGTCTTTATCAAGACAAAATCAACATCCTTTGAAGAATCCTAGAAGAAGTGAAGATGAATTATTGGGGACTATATCATCCCTTTACCTTTTCTGGTAGATTATCTTTATCCAGAGTAACCAATTTTTTGAGGAATCCTGCATCTGCAAGGAGGAGCTTTGTTGTTGCCCAACTAGGTTTTTTTTGCAGAAGAATGCAAACTGCATTCATAACAGTTAGTACAAGAGGAGGAGGATGAGTATATACTCTGTAAAAAACAAAGAAACATTTGAGAAATTAATAACGATCAGTTTCATACAAAATATGGTACTGTATATTTTCATTTAAATCATCCAGTATTGGCCCACCTCAAAGACAGGTTACTGGATTAGATGGTTCAATAGTCTGAACTATTATTTTAATTTCTAAATTAATACTAATTGCTGTATTCTTACCAATTAGTATATAACTATACTACAAAGTACTATATTGTTATATTAATAGAATAGAGAAGAAAATAAAAACAAACCTATATTAATAGAGGAAAACAACAGAGATCTGATGACACCATCCTTCACCCCTTTTCCCTGAGAAAGGTCTGTGTATAAAAGTGTAGAAAATGAAAATTTCTGACAAGTCCCTTTTGACCCAATATAGGGGTGGTGGGCATGTTTGTGTCTTGATTTAGAAAGAGAATAAACTAACCCATAGGAACTAATTTGACACATGAAAGCATAAAGAATTAAGAGTAAAAGAGTGAGTCAGCTTGAAATGTAGGCAAGATTGCATTGTTTGCACTTTCAAAATCATTTTCTTTAGTTCTGGATGTTCTGTATGGAGGAACTCCGGTGGAAACCGCTCTGTTGTGTAATTTGCCAGCATTATTGTTCCAGAACTGAAGATTGTCACTGTTCCAACTAATAGCAAAGTTTTAAAACAAAACAGACCTACCTGAGTTCTGCAATGTGAGCTTTGTCCAATGCATCTAGAGCAGCGAGGGCCTTTTCTAAAGCTGGCAATACAGCATTTAGCTCTTCAGTTGCTTGCTATATTGTAAAAAAAAAACAAAACCCAAACAAACAAAACCCCACAGCCCACAGAAAAAGATTAGAGTTGGCATTTTCTTTTGGCAATATGTACTTGAACAAAACCAGTTTTCTGTACACTGTAACCACCAGTAGGAAAATGTTTGTTTTGCGAGTAAGACACACAAAAAGATGATGTGTGAAGTACTAAGATGCTGTTCATGCATAGTTACTTTTCTAATCAGAATCATGCTTGAAAGAACTAAAACAGAGATCTTTCAGTTTTTATTACTTTAAATTTTATAATATGGTGAAGATTCCTTAAAAAACAATATCTATGCTGAAGGCATATGAAAATTTTTGCACTTTTTGGAACTACTTATTTTTACCCATAGATAGAACTGGATCTTGCAAGGTCGTTAATGCCCAGAGTGTTCTTAATGCTTTGTAAAAATAGGCCCACAGAAACCAAAACCTGTAAGAGACCACAAGAGACTCAGTACCCGAGCGTATTCTTCCACAACTTTTGTTTCCTCAGCCATGATTTCTTCATCCTGTTTAACAAGAGTTCGAACCTGCTCCACTACTAGTGAGTCTCTATGAAGTTTTTCCACGAGTTCTTCTATCTCCTAACAGGAAAAAAAAAAAGGTTTTCCTTTACAAAACATTTTGACTACAGAATTTCAAATACAGTTGGTGAGATGACAGAATAGTGAGAAGATTGAAACATTTCAGAAATGCATTGTGTTTTTTCTTTTTCTCATGAGCCAACCAGGAAACTGACTTCTCTTTACTGTGTCTGAATCTCCTGTCAGCCACGGAAGTGTTGAAGGAGAAAGGGTATAATGTAACTCATTGGCAAGGGTGATATAACAAGTAGGTTTTAGGTCCTGAATTTTGTGGAGAAGAGGAGGTGGAATGGGAGGTCACAGAAAATTTTTAAAGCCCCCTACAGAAAGTAATTTGTAATTAAAACATACCTTTGATTTTTGCTCTATCTGAGGGCCCAGGGTAAGCAACTCTTCTTGCATTTCTGCAACCAATGATGTTGCTTCCAGAAGCTTGGTCAGACCATTGTAAAAACAAGCCCTAAAAATAAAAATTAAGTTGCAATATGCATTATCTAGTTTTGTTCTTTTATTTTATTTGTCATTAAAGATAACAGCCCAGTTTCATTCAATGGTCTATGCTAACTTCTGCTCTGGGAAAATCTGACTGAAGGGGTGGAGGGGTAGGCTTTAGCAGTGGAAATCTGCTACAACCTCCCCTCCAATGAAGGGCCCACAAAAGGCCAACACAGCCCAAATATTTGCAGTATGGGCTGGAGAGATTGTCTGGGAAGGGAATCCAGAGTTGAGCTGATTTACCACATCCACTTAGGAATCATATCTGGCAGGGTTATTATGGGGTCCCAACAGTAAAGACGGTGTTGCAGGATAGACACAGGATTGTGGGGGTAATTTTGTTGCCCCAGGGAGAGATTAGCTTGTCCAGGGAAATATAATTTACAACTACTTCCACCTGATTGGGTGCCTCTAGTGTAACAAATGCATTTTAGGTGGTTTTTAATATTTTGAAACATCCTCTAATATATGGACAGTGTGAAGATTAAATAAAATATAAGTTATTATATATTGACTTTGGGATCTTAATTAGGGCTTTCAAGCGATTAAAAAAAATAATTGTGATTAATCGTGCGATTAATCGCACTGTTAAATATTAATAGAATACCATTTATATAAATATTTTTGGATATTTTATACATTTTCAAATATATTGATTTCAATTACAACACAGAATACAAAGTGTACAGTGCTCATTTTATATTTATTTTTTATTACAAATATTTGCACTGTAAAAAACAGAAGAAATAGTATTTTTCAATTCACCTAATACAAGTACTGTAGTGCAATCTCTTTATCATGAAAGTTGAACTTACAAATGTAGAGTTATGTACAAAATAATTGCATTAAAAATAAAACAATGTAAAACTTTAGAACCAACGAGTCCACTCAGTCCTAGTTCTTGTTCAGCCAATCGCTCAGACAAACAAGTTTGTTTACATTTGCAGGAGATAATGCTGCCTGCTTCTCGTTTACAATATCACCAGAAAGTGAGAACAGGCGTTTGCATAGCACTGTTGTTGCCGGTGTTGCAAGATATTTACGTCCCAGATACGCTAAAGATTCATAAGTCCCTTCGTCCTTCAACCACCATTCCAGAGGACATACATCCATGCTGGGTTCTGCTCGATAACTTCCAAAACAGTGCAGATCAACGCATGTTCAGTTTCATCATCCGAGTCAGATGTCACCAGAAGAAGGTTCATTTTCTCTTTTGATGGTTCAGGTTCTGTAGTTTCCGCATCGGAGTGTTGCTCTTCTGAAAGCATGCTCCACACCTCATCCCTCTCAGATTTTGGAAGGCACTTCAGATTCTTAAATCATGGGTCTCTGCTGTAGCTATCTTTAGAAATCTCACATTGGCACTTTCTCTGTGTTTTGTCAAATCTGCAGTGAAAGTGTTCTTAAAACGAACAACATGCTGGGTCATCATCTGAGACTGCTGTAATATGAAATATATGGCAGAATGCGGGTAAAACAGAGAGCAGGAGACATACAGTTCTTCCCCCCCCAGGAGTTCAGTCATAAATGTAATTAACGCATTACTGTCCTCTGGAATGGTGGCCAAAGCATGAAGGGACATATGAATGTTTAGCATATCTGGCACAAAAATACCTTGCAATGCCAGCTACAAACGTGCCATGTGAATGTCTGTTCTCGCTTTCTGATAACACTAAATAAGAAGTGGGCAGCATTATATCTTTTAAATGTAAACAAACTTGTTTGTCTGAGCAATTGGCTGCACAAGAAGTAGAACTGAGTGGACTTGTAGGCTCTGAAGTTTTACATTGTTTTGAGTGCAGTTATGTAACAAAAAAAAATCTACATTTGTAAGTTGCACTTTTACGACAAAGAGATTGCACTATACTACTTGTATGAGGTGAATTGAAAAATACTATTGGTTTTATCATTTTTACAGTGCAAATATTTGTAATAAAAATAATATACACTTTGATTTCAATTACAACGCAGAATATAATATATATGAAAATGTAGAAGAATATCCACAATATTTAATAAATTTCAATTGGTATTCTATTGTTTAACAGTGCGATTAAAACTGCAATTAATCGCGATTCATTTTTTTGAGTTAATCGCATGAGTTAACTGTGATTAATTGACAGTCCTAGAAATAATATCAGGTAACTTCACATATAAAATTATGCATGTTAAATGGGTAATTGTGCATGCAATCACTCTTACACATCTGTATTCTATTGCACAATATTAGTGCATACATGCTCATAGATTTTACAAGGATATTTTAGGTGTCCAGTTTTGAAAATTTGACCCATTGTGTTTGGTTTTGATATTTTGCTCCTTTGAAGCAGGATATTTTATGTGGCTGTACATTGTAACAGAGCACAATGGGAAAATGTTATTAATTTCTCACCTGTTAAACAGACTTTTCTTTTTTGTGCTCTGTAATATGCTTAAAAAGGTGTCTATGAATTGCAAATAGCTATTAGGAGTGATGTAGTAGTGCCTTTTAGTTTCCTTCAAATATTTCTCCATTGTTGTAGATGCACTTTTGTGGATTTCAACACATACCTGGGCAACCATGTTTGTTAAGTTCTGGAAGACAACATGATTTTAAATAAATATGAAAAAATAAAATCTTCATATGTTTGAAGTTATAGTATTCATTTTTGTTTATATTTTGGTTCACGTAACATTGTTAAATACACAGGAAATAATAAATTAATAAAATGATGCTTATTAATATTAATTAATTAATACTTATTATATTAGTATTAGTTGTAATAATAAAACAAAGTAATCAAATAATGTTTCATATACTGGCATGCAAAGTTAATAGAAAATTAAAATTATGTACCTGTAACCAGAATTCTTTGAGATGGACTTTGGATATCCCCACTGAGGGGATGTCCTAGCTGATACAACTTAGGCAATGAAACCTTCTTGTACAGTGTCTCTTAGAGTGATCATGTGTTCTTCCTACCCCTCTCCTCTGTTCCTGGATATTCTGAGGGTGAAGCTATGAAAGGGAGCATGACACCCTCTACCACCTCAACTCTTTCCACCACTTCCCCAGAGCCAAGTTTTTATTAGGACTCCAAAGAAGATAGGAAGGTGGGCAGGGAATGTGAATATGCAGAGTCTACCTCAAGGAACTCGAGTTACAGGTTACTAAACTTCATTCCTTCTTGGACAGTCCTCTGAATACTCCTACTCACAGGATAATTTGGCAAGCAATACCCCATGAATGGATCGTGGGACTTGGCGTCCTAACTGAATAGAGAATGAAGTTGTGCCCTACCAAACTAAGTGTCTGATCTACACAGTAGATTTAGGGAATAGTGTTTTGTAAATGTATATATAGAGCTCCCTGTACCAGCCTTTCGGATCTCAGCAATTGGAACATTTCTAAGACATGCCATAGCAGTAGCCATTGCTCTGGTCCTAACCCCAGCAATGGTCTGTCCAGCAGTCATCCGTACCTCTCATGGCTCATGTAATATGGACAGCAGTACGGTCACAGACTCTGACAATGACAGTGAAAAAGATGCCAGTGTTTGGAATGTGGGTGTTTCCAAGTGGTCTTACATTCATCGCTTAGTCAGATCAATCATGAACATGCAGCTTGCACCACAACACCATACACAACCAAAAGGAATGTGAAAGAGATTTAACATCAAGGCACTTCCAAAACAAACTAGTTGCGAGACTCTTCAGCAACACCTCATTGAGATGCTCTCTGACTTTCCTGACAACATCTATGACATCTAAACACATTGGGAGGAATACAAGACCATTATTCACAAGGCACGTGCTGAATCAATTGGATAGTGCACTCACTGCCATAAGGATTGGTTTGATGAGGACAACAAGGAAATCATAGCACTTATTCACTAGAAGAGAAGCACATTTTGCACTTGGCAAAATGAACCCTCTAATCAGCAAATACCAGAGACTTATCATTGGCTTAAAGCTGTGTTCAAAGGAAGCTGCGTGACATCAAGAATCAGTGGTGACAAGCAAAGGCCATGGAGATGCAGAGTTTCGCTGATCAGCATGACATGAGAGCTTTTTTCAAGCAACAAAAGCCATGTACATTCAAATGGCACAATCCCTCTGCGATCCCAGGACAACTCCATCCTTCTTAAGGACAATGGCCTTCAAGCAATGTTGGAAGGAACATTTCGAGACTCTATTGAACCGTGAATCTGAAGTCTCAGCTGCCACCATTGAGTCCATTCCTCAGCATCCAATAATAGAACCTCTTGCTACTCCCCGCCATCTTCTGAGGAAGTTTGGCAAGCCATCACTCAGACAAGAAACAACAAGGCACCAGGCCCAAATGGCATCCCTGGGAGGTTTTCAAAGGTGGTAGAATAGCATTTGTGCAAAAACTGCATCAACTTTTTGTTAGAATTTGGATTAATGAGGAAATTCCATCCGACCTAAAGAATGACCATATTGTGACAATTTTTAAGAAAGGGGACAAGTCAATGTGCGGGAGTTACCGAGGTATTGCCTTCCTCTCTATTTCTGTCCTTGCTTGATTTAGTCATGGGTATTTTTAGTAAAAGTCATGGACAAGTCACAGGCAATAAACAAAAATTCATGGCCTGTGACCTGTCCGTGACCTGTACCATATATACCCCTGCCTAAATCTTAGCTGGGGTGCCGCTGCTCTGGGAGAGTGGGCCAGGGGACAGCTGCTCAGGAGGGAGCCCGGGGGGCGTCCCCGGGGCCAGCAGCACCAGCTGCCGGGGACTGCTGAGCAGTGGCTGTTCTGGCTGCCCCCGGTGCTACCTCCCCCATTGCTCTGGCTGCCCCTGGAACTGCTGCTCAGGCAGTCCCCAGGGCCAGCTGCACCTGCCGCTGTTCAGGCGGTCCTCAGGGCCAGCTGCCCGGGGACACACGAGCAGCATCCGGTGCGGATGGCCCTGGGGCAACTCTGGCAGCGCCTGTTGCAGCTGGCTGCAGAGCTGCTCCAGCTGTGGCCGGTGTGGCTGGCCCTGGGGCCAGCTGCGTGGGTGGCCCTGGGGCCAGCCACACTGGCTGCTGCAGAAGTCATGGAAGTAGCGGAAAGTCACGGAATCCATGACATTCACATCCTCCGTGACAGACACAGAGCCTTATTTATGGCATTTATTGACCTAAAACCTTTGATTTCATCAATCATGAAGCATTATGGAAGATGCTGTTTAGGTTCAGTTGTCCATTGAAGTTCATTTATGTTCTCAGGCTACTTCATGATGCGATGACCCCCACTGTCCTCTGTAATGGGTTGGAGACGGACCCGTTCACCATCTGTACTGGTGTTAAGCAGAGCTGTGTTATTGTCAAAACAATTTTTTCCATCTATTTTACTGTAATCTTGATTCTCATTCATGATCGCCTTTCTTCTGGAATTGGGATTGAGTATCGCATGGACAGTCAGCTCTTCAATCAATGATGTCTTCATTCTAAAACTAAAGTAATCAGGACAACTGTGCTATCTTTGCTCAGACTGAGGTTGACTTGCAATCCGTCCTAGATCTCTTCTCAGGAGCCTATCATAGCTTGGGAATTTCCTTCAAGAATGGGAAGACGAAAGTGCTCCCCCAGCCTGCCCCCACACTAGTTGCCCCCATTCTCCCACAAATTGTCACCAGTGGTGAACCCCTGGAAAGCTGAGCATTTCCTTACCTTGGTAGCCACCTCTCCCAGACAGCCAATCTCAATGTAGAGATTGAACATAGCATCCATTGTGCCAATGTGTCCTTTGGAAAGTTACTCCATTGTGTCTTTACTGACAGAGATCTGCAGATGGAAACTAAGATCCTGGTCTACAATACCGTAGTCATCCCTACAATTCTTTATGGGTGCGATACATGAGTGACAAACCGAGGCCTTCTTAAGCATCTGGAGTGGTACCAACAGTGCTGCCTTAGGAAGATTCTCCATATCAGATGGGAAGACCATCACACCAATGCCAGCATTCTCTCTGCAGCTAACATCACCATGTTGAGGTGAAGATTAGGAATAGGTCTCCATGTCTGTCATGGAAGTCACAGATTCTGTAACTTTCTGTGACCTCCCTGACTTCTGCAGCTGCCAGTGTGGAGGACCCCAGGGCTGCCCAAGCAGCTGGCCCTGGCACCAGCTGGTCAGGTGGCCCTGCTGGAAAGGCCCTGGGGCCAGCTGCACTGGCCGCTGCTCAGGTGGCCCCAGGCACCTGGCCCCGGGGAGCGCCTGAGCAGCGACCGGTGCAGCTGGCCCTAGGGACTGCCTGAGCAGTGGCCCCGTGGGTATCCAGGGCAGCGGCAGGTGAGCGGCCCCTGGCAGTAGTCCCAGGGGTGGGCGGAGCAGCGGGGGGTGGATGGCCCTGGGGGCATGCCTCCTCCCTGAGCAGCGACCCCCCCAGCTAAGATTTAGTTAGTGGTATTTATAGTACAAGTCATGCACAGGTCAGAGGCTGTGAATTTTTGTTAGTTGCCCATGATTTGTCCATGACTTTTACTAAAAATACCCATGACTAAATCATAGCCTTAATTATGAAACATCAGCTTAACTGGGCTGGTCATTGTGTGTGGATGGCTGATACTTGTCTTCTGAAGTAAGTCTTCTTTTCTCAACTTAGTGATGGTAAGAGGATCTGTGGGGGACAGAGGAAAAGCTACAAGAACACCCTGAAAGTATATTTTAAGAAGGGAGGCATTGCACCAATTGGGAAGAGCTGGCTGGCAATAGACTGCAATGTTGTTGCATCATACATCAAGCCTCAGCCTGTTTTGAAGAGAATTGCCTTGCTCAAGTGGCTGAGAAACGGCAGAGGAAGAAGGAAAGGGTACAGCATTCTGGCCAGAAGTTGTGCTCTTTTCAAGCAACCACCTGTCACATATGTGAAAAAAAAACACAAAAAGCACAAATTGGACTCCTTAGCTATCGTAAGTTTCATCAAGGACTTTTCCCCTGGCAGACATCATCCTCGTATCAAGGGATAGCCTGATGACGGCCTAACCCCATCTGGGGAGGAATGGATGCTATCTTTAACATTTTTCCATACACTATCTAACCCAGGGCTTTGAAGCGGAGCCCGGAGCTGAAGTGGAGCAATTCAAAAATTTGATTGCTCCAAATCCCTGGTCTAACCTATCTAGATAATGATTGTGAAGAGGTAATATGACCTTTAGGGTTGTCAGAACATGAAATAAAGAGATTGGGAGACTTACAAAATTACTTAGCCCTATTAAGATACTATGGTAAGCTAAAGCAGGGGTTCTCAACCTTTTTCTTTCTGAGGCCCCCACAACATGCTATAAAAACTCCATGGCCCACCTGCGGCACAACTGGTTTCCTGCATGTAAAAGACAGGGCCGGCATTAGGAGGTAGCAAGCAGGGCAATAGCCTGGGGCCTCACGCCAGAGGGGCCCTCCATGAAGCTGAACTGCTCAGGCTTCAGCTTCAGCCCCGGGTGGTGGGGCTCAAGGCCTTGGACTTCAGCCCCATGTGGTGGGGCTTCAGTTTTCTGACCTTGGCCCAACAAGTCTAATGCTGGCCCTGCTTGGTGGACCCCCTGAAACCTGCTCACGGCCCCTCAGGGGGCCCCGGACTCCTGGTTGAGAACCCACTGAGCTAAAACACTCTTAGTGTTTAAAGTATACATCTTTGAGTCTTATTTAAGCATGAAGTCTAGGGAAGTGTGACACAGAGGCCCATAGGTGTCAACTGGCAAAGGGTTCACTGTACTTTAAGAGCAATTCCTACCTCAGACCTGACAAACTCACTACACTAAATACACTGCTTTTATGGTACTTATCCATAAAGGGAAACAGGTGAGGTTTCTACCAAATACTTGTAACTTATTGATACTCCTAATCATTTTGAGATGTGCATATAGATAATATTTAAGGAATAATGTATCTATATATTGAAAATTTAGCCTCTATGGCCTTGGAGTGAAAGTGAGTCACCGAGGACTAATATGTCTCTGTGATGGCCCATTCAAGTGGGAGGGAGCTGTAACTCCTCCCTGGCTAGCTGATTATGTAATTATTACTCAATTGTCTATTTTTGCACCAACCCAATTCGTGTCATCTGAGATCTCTATCAGAGATTTTTTTATGATTTCTTCCAGGTCATCGATATAAGTATTAAACAGTGTAGGGCAAAGAATAGACCCTTGAAGGACCCCTGGAACTACACCACCTACTCAAAGATGATTCCTCATTTACAATTAATTTTTTCCCCAAATACAGAACAGAAATATTTATTGAATACTCCTACCTTTTTGCATTATTATTGATCATTCTATCATTTCCATCTAGTAATGGACCAATACCATTCTCAGGATTCTTTTTGTTCCTAATATATTAAAAACCTCCTCCTATCTTTAACTTTACTGGCAATAGATTTCTCCTTGTGTCCCACTGCTTCTCTTTTTATAGGCTTGCCTCCGGAATGTTTGGGAAAGTGGAGGAGAGGGGGTTGGAGGAGAACTTGAGCATTCTAAGGATATAACTATACTGCAATCTGAGGTGTTACTGCAGCATGGAAAGACATACCATGTAGTGTGATATAGTAGTGTAGATGGGGCAGCATGGGCTTCAAAGTGTGGTAGCCATATGATACAAACCCAGGGTCCCCAGTGTGTTTGTACAGCTTGCACTGATGCCTGTGCCACTGCATCTACACTGATACTTTTAGTCAGGATAGTGTGGGCAAAGCCAGAGCAGGTTTATCCATGCTGCTCTCACACTTTGGATTGCAGTGCAGACATACCCTCTGGGGCACTGCTATAAGAAGGTTCCACCATTTACACTGCACCAGTTGACATGTCCCATGAGTGGGAATATGAAAAGGATACCTAAATAAGAATTTCAGCTCTTGTTGCCAAGTGAAAACCTGTACAGTTTTATTACAAATGAGGACACTGAAGAATACAAAGGGTCAAATTCTGTCTTCAGTTATAATTAAGGCTGCGATTTAGACATGGAGGTCACGGAAGTCACAGAATCCGTGACTTCCAAAGACCTTTGTGACTTCAGCCAGCACCGGATGAGAGCTGTAGGGTTCCCAGGGGGGACCCCTGCCGCTCTCTACCGCCCCAGATGGCAGGGGTGATTCCCGCTGCTCCCTACTGCCCCGGGTGGCAGGGGGGACCCTCGCTGCTCCTGGCTGTCAGGGGGGACCCTCGCTGCTCCCGACCACCATGGGAGGCAGGGGGGACCCCCACAGCTCAGAGCCGCCAGCAGAGGGGGACTGAAGAGCTGCAAGCCCCTATGGGTGGTAGGGGCCCCTGGAGCTCCCAGCCTACCCCGGCTCCCCATTTTGTCATGGATATTTTAAGTAAAAGTCCGGGTCAGGTCATAGGCTTCCATGAATTTTTCATTATTGTCTATGACCTGTCCATGACTTTTACTAAAAATATCCATGACAAAATCTTAGCCTTAGTTATAACGGTAAAAATGAAGCCAATAGATTTGCACCAATGTAAGTGAGGGAAGACTCTGACCCATCATGTTTGACAATTAGGCCCTGGAAAAATACGTAAACATATACATCGAGAATGGCAAAATTTTCCTACTCACTGTTTTTGCAAAAAATGAAAACTCACTTCACATCAATTGTAGCTTCATTAAATTTTCCTTTAATGAAAAGCAGTTTTCTATAGCAAAACAGCTTTTGTAAAATTCACCATAAGCCAAGCCAAAAATTGTACATCACCATGGAAGTGGGAAAAATAATTGTACTCATTTTTGCAATGTAGTAATAATTTTATTTTATACCATCCTGACAACTGTTTTTTCTACTGCTCCCTGTTCTTGCACCTCAGCATGTAGGTCTCATTTTATATCAAATTGGTGTCTTAACAATGTTCTGACATACATTCTATGGGCCTGATTCTTTTCTCAGTTATACTGGTTTTACACCAGTTTAGCCCTATTGGCTTCAATGAAATTATTCCTGATTTGTACTCATGTAATAAGTGCAAAAATCAGGTCCAGACCTACATTATCATTTAAATCTCTGCTGAATTTGGCTCTGCAATTTCCACATTGTCTGAATCTGGTATCAAATGCACAATAAATGAAAAAGTGTTAACTACGGTTAAAAAAAAAGGTAAGTTCTATTATTACGCTACCTCACTGTCATCACAAATGTCTTCATGGCTAAAGTAGCTTTTTGCAACATGCAGGAGAGCTTCTTCAGGCCAGTTGTTGTACCAGTCAATGGTAGAGCAATTAACAATGGAAGGATATATCCGACAAAGTTGACGGAAGTTAAGTCCTGCAGGACTTGTCGTCAAAACAATATGAAGCTTGCTATGTACTCTCTGAAATAAAGGTTTAATTTTGGCGGGGGGAATTACAGTTACACATCTCTTTTTCCAAACCTGTTTGCTGGCTGGAATTATTTTATTAAAAATATTATGTTAAGATTACTACTTTTTACTAATGTAATGCTCTCTTTTTTAAGTGACAACAATATGGTACTAATATATGATCAACAATGTAAAAATTTACCTAATCATTTTTAAGTCACGCATTTAAGACACAGTACAAAATATTAAAATACCTAAAAGAAAAGGCAGACAGTGCAAATACTTAGTGAATTTGCTAGCTCATAATATCCTTAATCTTGCAGTCCCTACATATGCTTAATTCTTAGAGTAAATGTGAGTTACACATTCATATGGACTGTAGAATCAGACCCCAGTTGTGATGGAAATTTGTTGACATACTGTGACACCCAGTACTCCATGTTCACCCCGTTAATATGGTTATGATATATTTTGTACAAAGTATGCCTTGTGATGTATCATTTGAAAACTTAGAATATGCTGAATATCACTGTCCTGTTAAGATGTGTGTAACAACACTGTGTGTAAAGCTGTGAGATTTTACTGTATGATTGTTACTGGAATATTTTGTAATTATGGGTAACTTCCACAAACCAATTTCTCAAAGACACACTGGCATGCCAGCATAGTGCTAAAGCGCCATTACTTACTTAATTGGCTATTCACCAGCAGGGCGGGAAGGTATAAACAAAGAATTTACATTTCCTTCCAGAAACTTTTCAAACCTCACATACATGGGAGACTGTTTGTCTGTACCCCAGTGGGACTAATCCTCAAAGAGGGGAGTGGGATATAAGAATGGGAGACAGTGACCTCCACCTTACCACTTCCCGTCCATCTCTATTGATGGCAACTACATTGCTTGAAAGACAAAAGAAGCATCATTGAACTGGGGGACTGGTCCTGGCCTGGCGGTTTTCACTGGTGTAAGCTTTTGTTGAGAAAAACTTCTTTTTGCTTTTAAACCTATTACCCTTGATAAAGTTTAGGTATTAGTTTGTGTGTTTATCCTTTTATTTCTTTTTAACTAATTCTGATTTTTAAGCCTTATCACTTAAAAACCATCTTTCTCTGTTAATACACTTGTTTTGGCTGAAGTGCTTGAGAATCTCTACTTAGGTCAACAAGCCTGGTGCATAAACATTACCTAGTGTTCGAATGTTGGACTTTCTATGAGCTTATACTGTCCAGAGGGCTACTGGGAAGTATAAAACACATATTTCTGGTGCATAAGACTGGGAGTGGGAATATGCGGGTGTCGCCCTAATATGTAATTCATGAATGGCTGGGCATAGCATTCATGTATTCAGCTGGGAGTGACTTTACATGCTGGTGGCTGTGAGTGAGCAGAGCCAGGAGGAATTGCTGTTCACCAGCAAAGCAGTGTAAAAAGCATCTCAGGTTGGACAGCTAAGGGGACATAGCAGTCCATCAGTTCAGACTATACCCTGTGGAATGTCACACAGACCATCTCTTTAGTTTTCTTTTTATGAAGAAGAAAAAACATTTCAGCAAATCAAATACTTAAGTAAGCATCCTAGATGGTTGAATGTAAAAACAAAGGGTGAAATATGATGCAAAATATAAATTTTAAAATTCAAAACTACCACTATTAAAAAATTATATGTAATAATATAAACATGTGGCAAAATTTTCAAAACATTGAAGTCACTAAGTTCCATTTTCAAAAGTGATTTAAGTGCCTCAGTAACTTTTGACTTAGGTAGGCATCTTTGAAATCGTCTTAGATACAGCTACCTATTCCTGCTCACACTGATGACAATAGCAAAACTATTGTTCAACTGGAACAGGGTCTAGCCCTTGGACATTTTGATTAAAAAGTTTCAAATTCTCTAAAATTAATGTATTTGAAACAATACCTGCATGAAAAATGAAAGAATTGCTTCTCTGCTGTTAGAGTAGTTAGCCTTTTCGGCAACAGCTGTAAGCTTCACAACAATACCTTCCAACTCCTCCTTATCAAATAAATCAAGCACTTCTCCAGAATTCAGAATGAAGCTCAAATGTTCTAAAAAAGAATCCTAGGGTAAAGAACAACAATTAGTAATCCCTGCAAAACTTGTTACTTATTTCCTTTTAAAACTAATACATTATAACATAAAGCATTTTTAGGCTGAAGGCTTGTCACAGTGGTAAAAATATCACAGATATAGTGATTTTTTGGTTAATCTGTGACTTTTCTTTGTGTCTGTGATTTTAATAAAGGGGAGTTTCCCAAACAGTGGATTGCAAACCAGTAGATTGTGGGGAGGTTCTAAATGAGTCACTGGCTTGGTGTGCAGAAGAGGTCAGGGAGGGGAAGGAGTTGGAGAGTGAGTCTGACCCACACTGTCCCATATGCTGAGTCCAGCTCCCCACTCCAGGTAATGTGACCTGGCACAAAGGGTTGCAGCGCTGCCAGGCCAAATTTGTTTGAGTGGCATTACAACCTGTCAGGGTCACAGGACTACTTGCTCAGGTTTGGCTCAGCCGCATTTCTGTTATCACAGAGGGATGACCAGGCCAAACCTGAGCGGTGCTGTAACTTTGTGTGCCAGGTCGCAATGCCTCAACTGGGGAGCCAGGTCCAGTCCTGTGGGACAGGAGCCACCACTGTGGAATGAGTAGAGGACAGGCTCCAGCTTTTCCTGACCCACCTTAGGGCCTCGCCTCTGCACGGGGCGGGGATTAGGTTTGCAGTGCTGGGGCGGAGAGAGCTGCTGTGGGTGGTCGGTGCCCCTTCTGCAGGGATTTATGTAGACTGTATTTAAAGAGGTAGAGCTGACTTTTCATATCTGTGACTTTACACACCATTGCCCCCTAAACACATGACTTTTACTAAATTTACTGAGACTGCTCTGTGATTTTTAATAAAAAAATGAAGTGACAAATTTGTAGCCCTAAGCATTACTGTATTTGGATTACAATTAGGATGGATGGACCAGTTCAGAAAAAGAGGAATTAACCCAAATCTTTGCCTGCAACTCAGATGAACCTGAAACTTCTCTAAGGTGAAAAAACTGGTTAACTTTACATTATCTATTAATTTTCATATGCTTTCTCATCTTGCTTTTTTGGTTAAAACTGGAAAAAGAAATACCACAAAAGAGGCCATTTTCTTATTGCCTCTGACCCCATTAACAAAAATGTTGAAATTTTATATGAAGGTCTACTCTTGTCAGGTTGTCAGAGCGAAGAGATTTGCTCTGCACAAGCACCAGAACAAAATTCCCAATCACTGATAGCACCAAATATTAGGTTTTTGTCTTCATTGGACACATACATATAATATACACAAGTACAAAAAATATACATAATGTTGCATGCAGGTACACCATGAAACTCGTGGCCCCGAGTGCCTTTTGAAGCATAAAGTCAAATACCTCGTTCTTTCAACTATGGGTGAACTGTGAATATATCTTGGTAACTAATTAACTTATTGAAGTATATGATCGCTTTTAAATGTTTCATTTTTTCTTTCTGTTCAAATTGGTGCCTATTTTTTCACATCAGTGTGAAATAGGAATACAGTTTAGGAAAAAGGACATTTCTCACTATTTAGCATATAGTCGGAGCCCAATACTATATGATTGCATCACTGAAATCAATGGGAGTTTTGCTATTGACTTTAAAAGGAAGCAGGACCAAACTTTTAAAGAGCCCAATTTTCAGCCCATGGTCTCCATTTGTTTGTACAAAACATATTTGTATCGGCACAATAGTACAACTCTAAAGCAAGCATGTATGCAAGTACTCTAACTTTAGCAAAAACATCATGTCAGAAAGCATTTACCTGAACTATATCTGAATCAGTGATGAGCAAAACAGTGTTCTGGCCCTCCAGCCCTGTTTGTCTATAGACTCTTTTCAGGTCCTCTATGAAATCTGTGTAGCTGTAACTGTGGGTAACAGACAATCTAAAGAGACTACAGTTTGATAAATAACAGGCTAGGGTCGCACAGGTTATTTTCCCATTTCCATCCAGGCCAACCTGCAGAAAGATATTAGTTATTTTATATATATATATATATACACACACACAATCATGCAGATGGTTTGAGAATCCCTTCACTATAAAGTAGATTGAGAAGAAAAATATAAAATGAAATAACTGTACAATTACAGATATTAGAGAGACAAGGAAGGTGAGGTAATATCTTTTATTGGACCAACTTCCATTGGTAAGAAAAGTTGGTCCAATAAAAGATATTACTGTACCCATCGGGTCTCTCTCCTGGAACCAATATGGCTACAACAACACTGCAGACAACTACAGAGATAACTATCAGTTCAGCAGACAGTTGCTGCAGTAGTTCTGCCACTTGAATGTGTAGCTCTGGAAGGTAGCATGCAGATGTTTCCACTTTTTTCTGTGCACCAGTTTATTTGCTTCAGTTAGAGTACTGAGATGACATAAATGCTATGCAGCGGGACATGACAGACATTTAAACACCTTTATACAATTCCATTCACTTCAGGCAATTTTTATTCATTATTAATAACATTTACCCCTTGTAAAGGGATTTCAACACTCTTTAGAACAGTAGATAAATATTATTAACTTCATTTTACAATAGAGACACTGAGGCACGAAAAGGTTAAGCTGTCTGTCCATGGTCATAAAATGAATCACTGGTATAGCCAAAAATAGAACCTAGATCTTCTAACTTCCAGGTCTTGCCATAGATACTAAACCACCTTGCCTTCTAAATTATCATCAGATATTGTAGTACAGAGTAGGCAAGTGTATTTAGAGCTAGTCACAAAAGGACTTAGATGCCTAACTGCCACTTCAGGTCCCTAAATCACAGAATCAACCCTCTGGTTACCTGCCCCCGAACACTGTAGGTACCTAAAAATCACTCTATGTCTATTTTTTTGCAGTAAGAGTTCCCTAATCAGCTATGTTTCTGCTTCTGAACATGTGCACTGAAGCTTCATGCCAGGTATCTGTATGCCTATGACGATTTTATAATCCATACTGGCCCTTATGTCTGTCATTATTTGTAGGGATTGACTATATCATGAGAGTGGAGTTATGGCCCTGAGCTCCAAAATGTCAACATGAAGGATGGACTTCTGAATAGTCCAGCTGCCCCTGATAGTATGATCTTGCAGATGAGCTCCCCATTCTAGAAGGGATGTTCCAAAACAACTGTGACAGTGGGGGGGTGGGGGGAGGGGAGGATGGAGATGGTTGATGATATCCCTGAGCATATCTTGTCTGGATTCTTCCACCAATCGAGGGAAAGTAGCATATGACATGGAATGGAAAGAAGTTTCTTTAGATTGTGTCTGCTGTGAATGTAAACTGCTCTGAGTCAGGCCTGGCAGCAGTAGAGATGTAGGTGAGCGTAGGGTGACCAGATGTCCTGATTTTATAGGGATAGTTCCAATATTCGGGGCTTTTTCTTATACAGGTGCCTATTACCCCCCTCCCGATTTTTCACACTTGCTATCTGGTCACCTGAGGTGAGTGTGTAGGATGACAAAGATGCATGTGTCATGTGACCAAGGAATTGTAGACATGACCTGGCAGCTACCTGAGAGCTCAATTCAACTCAGCAGTAAATGTGGTAGAGTGAGGAATCCTCTGGTATGTAAGCTCTGGATGTTGTAGCATCGAAAATAGTCTCTATGAACTCTTTTAATTGCACAGGTAAGAGGCAGGACTTTCTGGTGTTGTGCTGAAGGCCAAGCACATTGAACAGAGTCACAGCTTTCTCTACAGCAGATCAAACTTTGATGTAGGAATGTCCCTTGAGAAGCCAACCATCAAGATAGGGGAAGATCATTCCCCATCGACGAAGCTGTGTGGCAACTACTGCCGTAAATTCTGTGAACACACAGGGAGTGGTAGAGTCCAAATGGCAGTATCCAATATTGATAGTGGTTCTGACCAACAAGAAGTGTACAAACCTCATGAGAGAGGTATATTGCGATATGAATATATGTGTCTTAAAGGCTGAGTTGTGAATCAATCCTCTGAATCTAGGGATGGTATGTTAGCTGCAAGTGTCACCATCTTGAACTTCTATACCTTGCCAAAGGTACTCACCATCCTGAGATCTAGGATCAATCTCTATCTGTCCTCCTTTTGTGGGAGCCAGGAAGTATTTGTAATAGAATCCCCTTCCGCTGTACTGAGAGGGAATTGGTTACACAGCTGCAATGTGGAGGAAGAACAGAACCTCTTGCCTCAGGAGAAGTTTGGAAGACGTCCCTGAAAAGGGATGGGCAAGGAGAGTATGGAATGGAAATGAATGGAGTAGCCCAATTTTATAACCTCAAAAAACCCGTCTGTTAGAAGTAATCTGCTCCCAAGAGGTGCGGAAATGAGAAAGATGATTTCCAAAAGGTCAGAAGACGGACTGGGTTGGATGATGCAGCATCAGATCCAGGATGAGGGGATGTTCTTGACTCTCAACGAAGGCATCAAAACAAATGCTTGGCTGATGATGGCTGTTGCACTGATACAGGTGGAGCAGTTCAGAATTTTTCCTTCTACATTCTGTGTTTCTTTTTGGGTAATTCTGGTGACATGTGATAGGCAGAGAATTGAGATGCATGGGATCTCTGGGCTGTCTAAGACCAACTAATTCTCCTTTTGTTTGCAGGTATGTAAACACCCAGTGAGCAAAGGGTTGCCCTTGAGTTTTTAAGAAAATGTGGTGACTCATCGGTTGACTCGCTAAACAACTTGAGCCCATCACAGGGAAGGTCTTCTACAATATTTTGGACCTCACCTGGGAGGACTGAGGACTGTAGCCATGAAGCTTAGCCCCTAACTGCAAATGTCAAGATGGAATAAGCTACAATGTCAGCTGCGTTAAGAGAAGCTTGTAAAGTCATTCTTGCCAGGAGCTGGCCCTCAGCAAGGGTAGCCTGAAACTGTTCCTTGTGTTCTTGTGGAAGATGTTCAATAGAGAATTGAATTTTGTGTAGCCGATGTGGTTGTACTGTATTTAGCAAGAATCACCTAGCAATTAGCAATTCGGAATTGCAGGGTGGCAGATGAGTAGCTCTTGCGACATCCATATGAGAGTTAGGTGCCTTGGAGAGCTGCTGATGGCAGGCCAACCAGGGATCCTAATATGGGCATTGGGGAGAGCCACAAGGAAATGGAGGAGGCATCCAGGCTTGATCATACCAAGGAGGATGCTGAACAGACCAACCAAGTTCACATGGGTCTTTAAGTGTTCCTTGATGAAGCAGATTCAGTGAAGTCAGGCCTAGGATGATGAGCAAAGGAGCCCTGAACAGACATTTGAGAGTCTGAAGAGCTATCATCTGCATTGTCCAAAGGGGAGGCAGATGATGGTGGCGTGTTTGTCTGTTTGTCCATCCCCATTGGTACCAGGGAACTCTGTGTTATCGGCGAAAGGGGAGGTACTAGAGATTATGCAAGCTGCAGTACTGGGGGTCTGAGCTTAATAAGGGAGACTCAAGTTCGTCAGAGATAAATAAGTCTTTGAAGCACCTGAACTTCTGGGATACTGAGTGATTGTGTGCAGAAACTTGATAGTCCCAGACATAGAAGCACCCGTGGTACCAACGATGGTGCAAAGTACGGTGGCACCTGCTGGATGACAGGTCTGCGTACTGAAGAAACAGCAGATGTTGCAGATGGTACCACTGTCTTTGGGGTCTCTAGTTCCTCACTCATGCACCAATGGTACTGAGGAATGCTTTGGTACCAAATGGCATATGCCAAAGGTGGCCAAAATTACTGATCCTCCCTGACACATACGATAATCTTCAGAAATTCAAGAGCCACAACACACACACAACCTGCCCCACAGGGCAGCACCTGCTGGGGCGTGGGACTTCTGCCCCAATACCCAACTGCAGGGCAGAAGCCCCTAGTCCCACCAACCTGCCACAGGGCAGAAGCCCCATGTTCTCTTCCCCAGTCTGGTAGGTGGCGAATGGGGTGGGGGACTCCAAGAGCCGCACTTTAACTGTAAAAGCACCACATGCGGTTCACAAGCCACGGTTTCGCTATGTCTACCATATATTGTGAGTCTTACCATGAGGGTTCAATTTAGAAGCACCCTCTGTACCAAGACTGCTTGAAGCCTCTGCAGTACCCATTATGGGTGCGGGGTTTCAGGTATGGCAGCTCTCTTAAGGCCCACTTCTTTTTAAGGAAATTTAGAACTCCTCTTAGCCTAAGGCTTCTCCGTGTTGCTTATAGACCCGTCTCTCAAAGATTTCGGAGGCAAGCAAACTGAAAAGGCTGACAGGGCGCTGTTGTGGCTCATAGGGTACTGTACAAGGGGAGTCTCTGGGCCTGGATATGAGGTGGGACAGAGGTTCCACAATGAGACAACAAAGATTTACCTTTCTGTCTTTTTTGGAATGACTCTTGAATCCTGTGAGGATCATACACTTTGAAGGCTTGTGTGTATTCCCCAAACAGTGGATACAGTGTGAGGGGCCATCACTGACTGGGAAGAACTCCTGGCAAGTGAGGTAGCAATTGAAACCTAAAATTTCAGCATGCACCAAGAAAAGAGAGCTCCTTTGACAAGGGGGGAGGGCAGGCAGGGTAAAAGCCTCAACTAAAGGAACCCTCTCCACCCCAAAATCAAGAAATCAAACACACTCTAAAAAGTAGAAAATTATAAAACCAGGTAAAATAAAATTAAACAGTCTAAACTAAGGAGAACCAGCAAGGCAAGAAACTGCATGAGTAGATGCTACCAGATGTTTCATCTGAGGCCAAGATGGTCAAGAAGGAACTGAGGGCAATTTGTTCATTGCAGCCCTATATAACCTTGGTATAATGCACAAAAATAGCTAGGGCATGTGTACAAACTGAAAGTGCACTGCTGCTGAAAATCTTTGACTGAAAGAGCATGAGGTACATCTGAAGTGGATCACCCACAGGGGCACACGTGAAGAAGAACAGTGATTGATGATGGCACTGATATCCTGACCTGTTCAGAAAACAGTATTGTCTGGGCCGTGCTGGTGTGATGAGAATCA